TAATTCTGTCTATTGAACTTGATCTCACTTTAGAGATTGTAGTGTCTTCTAATTCTTTTAAAAATTTTGTCAGCTTTATTGTGACATCATTTATACATTTTCATAAAAAATTTTCATATAAAATTTATACATTTTCATAAAAATTTTCATACAAAATTTATACATTTTCATCTTTTAAAAAGATGATTAATTTTTATTGGAAAGACAGATATACAGAGACGAGATACAGAGAAAGACCTTCCATCTGCTGGTCATTCCCCAAGTGGCCACAGTGGCCAGAGCTGAGCTGATCTAAAGCCAGGCGCTTCTTCCAGGTTTCCCACATGATGCAGGGTCCCAGGGCTCATGATGAATTTACTTCCTGTCTCTGTAAGACTTTTTTGTTGTTGTTGTTTTGACATTTCATCTAAACAGAATTATATGTTCTTTTGTGTCTGACTTTGCCTAAGAATAACTGTTTTGAGGTTATGCATATTGTAGCAAGTGTCAGTATTTTGTTTCTTACTACTGCCAAGTAGTATATCATTATACTATTAGCAGTGAGCTGGAACAGAAGTTCTGCAGTCAGGAAATGAACTGGCTCCTATATGGGATGCCAGAATTGCAAGTTGTCATTTTACGTGCTGTGCCACAATGCTGGCCTCTGGTTGTGGTTCTGATATGCAGATCCTAATAACTAAATGATGCACAGTGTCCTTACTGGTTATTTGTCTTTCTTTATGAGAAATGTACATTTGCATATTTTGCTCTTTCTAGTTATATTTTTCTTTTTGGGTTATGAGAGATTTTGATATATCCTGGTTACAAGTGTTTAGTACAACATGATTTCCACATATTTTCTTTCCTTCTTTTGTCCTTTTCTTTTTTTAAAGATTTATTTATTTATTTATTTTAATGGAAGGGCGTATATATAGATATACAGAGAGGAGAGACAGAGAGGAAGATCTTGTGTCTGATGGTTCACTCCCTTAGCAGCCACAATGGCTGCAGCTGAGCCAATCTGAAGCCAGGAGCTCTCCCAGATCTCCCATGTGGGTGCAGCGTCCCAAAGCTTTGGGCCGTCCTCAACAGCTTTCCCAGGACACAAGCAGGGAGCTGGATGGGAAGTGGAGCTGCTGGGATTAGAACTGGTGCCCATATGGGATCCCAGCACGTTCAAGGCGAGGACTTTAGCCGCTACACTATCGCACCGGGCCCTGTTCTTCTTTTCAATTTCTTTGATGAAGTCTCTTTATTTTTGTCTCTGTGATTTTGATGTCATAGCTAAGAAACTGTTCCTTGTCCAATGTCATGATAACTTAATTCACAATGTCAGCTCCTCTAATTTCTTTCCTTTTTTAATTTTTATTTTTCATGATATAGTTTTGTCGGCTCATGGATTTCCTCTTCCTCACTCCCTTTCCTTCCAACTGTTTCCCCCTATATAACAGTATAGTCTTTCAACAAAAATCACAAGTCGTTATTCTACTGCTTAAGTGTATCATGAGGTTGTAGGTATAGACAATAGTAGAAAGTCCAACATCCTATTTTTAAGATTTGTTTAACAGTTTCATTGGGAATCCTTCTTTTATTCAGGAGTAGAGATGATGCTGCAATGTATCTTCACTTATCAGTGTGCTAGTCTCTATTATAAGTTCCTCTAGATGAATATATGTATATACATGTTTACCTATATTTTTATTGATTTTATATTTTGCATGAAGATTTGTTATATCAGAGAGAACATATGATATTTGTGCTTTTGGGATTGGCTTATTGGAAAGTCAGATATACAGAGAGGAGGAGAGACAGAGAGGAAGATCTTCTGTCCAATGATTCACTCCCCAAGTGAGCACAACGGCCGATGCTACGTTGATCTGAAGCCAGGATCCAGGAACTTCTTCTGGATATCCCATATGGGTGCAGCATCCCAAAGCATCGGGCCGTCCTCAACTGCTTTCCCAGGCCACAAGCAGGGAGCTGGATGGGAAGTGGAGCTGCTGGGATTAGAACCGGCGCCCATATGGGATCCTGGTGCGTTCAAAGTGAGGACTTTAGCCGCTAGGCCACGCTGCCGGGCCTAACCATGTTCATCCCTTGCCGTGGTTCCCATGCTTGCCAGTATGTACAGCAGATTGATCCAGTCTGTTCTATATCCCATTCAACTCTCATACATGTCAATGGGCATTGAAGTGTAGTTTAACCCAACCAGCTCTACTATCCAGCCTGTACACATTCTGGTGGGTGCTACTCTCTGTGTAGCCACCACTGCTCCAGTACTGGTTCTCATGCTCTCTAGTGGGAGTGATAACCTAAGCGGGAGGTGCCCATTATTGAATTTGTTCTTTTGAAAAGTATCTGTTCATTTCCTTTACCCGTTTTTTTTCACAAGTTGTTTGTTTTGTTGTCACTGAGTTTCTGAAGCTTTTTTAAAATCCTGAATATTAGTCCCCTGTATAGAATATAGTATGCAAAGATTTTTCCTTGCATTCTTTTGATTACTTCTCGCTTTGTGATTACTTGAATTTTGATGTGGATATTTTGTATTTGTGTTCAAGAGGGAAATTCGTTTGTATTATCATTTTGTGTATATTCTTTTTTCTGGCTTTTGTGTCAAGCTAATACTGGCCTAGTAACTGTTTTGGAAAACACATTTGCTGAAATAAGTTTTGAGGTTTTGTATTAAAGATTTATTTTTGTTATTTTCTTATTGGAAAGGCAGATATACAGAGAGGAGAGACAGAGAGGAAGATCTTCCCTCTGATGATTCACTCCCCAAGTGAGCACAACGGCCGATGCTATGGCGACCCGAAGCCAGGAGCCTCTTCCGGGTCTCCCACGCGGGTGCAGGTTCCCAAAGCTTTGGGCCGTCCTCGACTACTGTCCCAGGCCACAGGCAGGGAGCTGGAAAGGAAGCGGGGCTGCTGGGATTAGAACTGGTGCCCATATGGGATCCTGGGCGTGCAAGGCGAGGACCTTAACCACTTGCGCCACCGCGCCGGGCCCAGTTTTGAGGTTTTGATATTCATTTTTCTTTAGATTTCAGTAGACTTCACTTGTGAGGCCATTTGCTCATGGACTGTGTGTATGAAATTTTGAAACTACGAATTAAAGATGGACTTCCGAGGAAACTGTTAAACATATCTTACAACAGGATGCTGGAGTTTCTACCGTTGTCTATACCTGCATGTCATGGTACACTTAAATAAGAGTGATGGGCTTGTGACTGTTTTTGAATGAGTATAGTGTTTCAATAATACAGGGAAAATGGTGGTGGGAAGGGGAAATCTTTTAGCCTGGCATCCATGTGGGATCCTTGCATTTGTGAGGTGAGGATTTAGCCACTGGACCATTGTGCAGGATCCTATCATTGATTTTTAAAAAAAGATTTGTTTATTTTTATTGGAAAGTCAGGTATACACAGAGAAGAAGAGATAAAGAGGACGTTCTTTTTCTGCTGGTTCACTCCCCATGTGGCTGCAGTGGCCGGAACTCACCAATCTGAAGGCAGGAGCCAGGAGCTTCTTTCGGGTCTCCCACGTGGGTGCAGGGTCCGAAAGCTTTGAAGCATCCGTGACTGCTTTCCCAGCCACAGGCAGGGAGCTTGATGGGAGGCAGAGCTGCCCTATTGGTACCCATAAGGGATCCTGGCATGTGCATGTCGAGGACTTCAGCCACTAGGTTACCATGCTAGGTTCCTGGAAATAAATTCTGATAAAATATTACGTCTATCAAAAACCACAAAAAGCATAGGTTCTTGTCTCCTAAATTTAAAGTTAACTCTTTTTGTATGGATATTATTGCTACTTATATAGGTATCCTTCAATACTAAGTTTAAGGGCAGGTATTATTCTTTCTTTTTACTTGAAGGATAGAGTGACAGAGAGCGAAAGACACGTATCTCCCATCTGCTGATTTCTCTTCAAGTGGCCACACAGGTGGGCAGTGCCGAGTAGAAGTCATCTCCCTCCCTCCCTCCCTCCCTCCCTTCCTTCCTTCCTTTTTTTTAATGCTTGAAGATGATCGGCTCAATCAGTCAAGCGACCTCTATTTTGTTTTTTAGATTTTTGTTTGTTCACATTTTTAGGTTATTCTAAAGGTAGACAGAGACAGAGAGATCTTTTGTCCCGTGGTTCACTCCCCAGATACCTTCAGCAGCTAGACCCAGGGCTGCAGGCCAGGTATTCTGATACGGAACGTGGGCATCTCAAATAGCATCTCAACTACAGTGCCAAAGGCCACCCGGCGTCCTTAGTTTGAATGATTTTTAAGATAAGCATGTGCTTAAACTAAATCACATTTAAAAATTATTTATTTTTGTTTGAAAGGCAGATTTACAGAGAGAAGGACATATGCACACATGCACACAGAAAGAGAGAGAGGGAGATCTTCCTTCCTCTGGTTCACTCCCCAAGTGGCCTCAATGGCCAGAGTTGAGGTGATCCAATGCCAGGAGCCAGGAGCTTCTTCCCGTCTCTTATGTGGGTACCGGACCTGAACCATCTTTCACTGCTTTCCCAGGCCATGAGTACGGAGCTGGATTGGAAATGGAGCATCCAGGACAAGAACTGGCACCCATATGGGACACTAACACTGGAATTGGATAATTAACTGGCTGTGCCACTGTGCCAGCCCCAAGAAAAATACATCTTGAGTGTAGAACAAGTTGTATTTGTGATAAGATTTGCAAATGTGTATTGCCCTCCCACTAACAGTGTGAATAATTGTGAATGGGTTAGGAATCTAACAGGTCTAAATACAAATGAATGACCATAGTTGTTGCATACCTGACAGAATGGTGAAAACAATTTCAGCTTAAGTGAAGTGTCTTTTTCATTTAAACATAATGTTTGAGAATTACTGTGTATCTGTGTATTTGTCTTACAATATTTACTATTCTAAGTAATTGCTTGAAGAATTAAAATTCAGAACTTCTGAAACTGTTTGACATAGTTTATGATAAATTAATGTTTTATACAATGTTTAGTATCATATGTATTAATCATTTATATATGTAACAGGCAACTCAAAGTTATGTTGACGAATGTCCTATTGACGGATTTAGGACGAAAATTCAGAAAGACCCTACCTAGAAATGGTGCTAATTTGTGCGATGTCTACGAGGTGCAATCAGACTCATTGCCTTCGACATCTGTTGACAGCATAGAGACATGTCAAAAGTTAGAACCTCTCCACCAAAGCCTTAATTTATCTGAAAGGTATGTTGTTCAGTGTTATTTTGTTCAAGTTACCACATTTGAGATAATATAAATCCAATACTCTTAAAAGTTGTTGGAAATAATTTGCCTCACTGTAAGGCAAATCCCAAAGCTGGCAAGCTTGATTACAAAGTCAGATGATTCTACACTTCATTAAGTGGACTGACATGGAATAACATTTAAAAACAAGTGTTTTTAACATATATAACACTTATAATAATTTGATTCACGTGTATGTTTTTTAGGAATTATGTAAAATGAAGATGTGTATATATGCAAGAGTGTATAAATGATTATATATTTAATTTATTCATATTTAGTATGTCTTCAAAATGTTATATAGTTTAGAACCTCATCATTGTTTTTGTGAATCTCCTTGCTTTTGTATCAGTTTTGAAAAAAGGGATTATACTAATATGTTGCCTTCAGTTCTTCATGCTAAATATAATGTTTGCTATTGAAAAAAGAAAGGGACCTATTTTGTGTCTGTCTATGTGTATGTGTGAAGGATTTATTTATTTATGTGAAAATCAGAGTTAAACAGAGAGAGGGAGAGGCAGAGATCCTTCATTTGCTTCTTTACTCCCCAAAAGGCCACAGTAGATGGGGTGAGCCAAGCAGAAGCAAAGATCCAGGAGTTTCATCAGCATCTCCCACATGGATGGCAGGGGTCCAATGTCTTGAACCATTTTCTGCTGTTTTTCCCAGACCATGAGTAGGAAGCTGAATAGAAATGGAGCAGCTGGAATAGGAATTGGCACAGGTAGCCACAAAGCTATACCCTATATATTTTTTTTAATTACATGTACAATCTGCGGCTAAAACCTAGGTGTTAGTTCTAGGAACTTGTGACAATTTATAATAATATATTTTACATAATTTAATTTATAGTTTTAGGCCTAAAATGAAAATTTTAAAGCATGCAATTTTATTTTCAATTAGAATAACTTTCCATTAGCTTTGATTACAATCTATCACCTGAATGTCAATGTATAAATTCTTGAGAAGTAAAAGCCTTGATTAAAAATTGCTGACTTGGGCCCAGCACAGTGGCACAAGTGGTTAAAGTCCTCGCCTTGCATGCCTGGGATCCCATATGGGCGCCGGTTCTAATCCCAGCAGCCCCGCTTCCCTTCCAGCTCCCTGCTTGTGGCCTGGGAAAGCAGTCGAGGAGGGCCCAAAGCTTTGGGACCCTGCACCCGCGTGGGAGACCCGGAAGAGGCTCCTGGCTTCGGGTCGCCATAGCTTGGGCCGTTGTGCTCACTTGGGGAGTGAATCATCAGACGGAAGATCTTCCCCTCTGTCTCTCTTCCTCTCTGTATATCTGACTTTCCAATAAAAAATAAAAAAAATTGCTGACTTTCTAGTAACTTTTTTTTTTTTAAAGATTTATTTTTATTGCAAAGTCAGATATACAGAGAGGAGGAGAGACAGAAAGGAAGATCTTCCGTCCGATGATTCATACTCCCCAAGTGAGTGCAACAGCGGATGCTATGCCGATCCGAAGCCAGGATCCAGTAACCTTTCCTGGGTCTTCCACATGGGTGCAGGGTCCCAAAGCATTGGGCCGTCCTCAACTGCTTTCTCAGGCCACAGCAAGGAGCTGGATGGGAAGTGGAGCTGCTGAGATTAGAACTGGTGCCCATATGGGATCCTGGTGCGTTCAAGGCAAGGACTTTAGCCGCTAGGCCACGCTGCCGGGCTCACTTTTTTTTTGAAAGATTATTTATTGTACTTGAAAGAGTTATAAAGAGGCAGACAGAGGTCTTCCATTTGCTGGTTCACTTCCCAAATAGCTGCAACAGCTAGAGCTGGGCTGATCTGAAATTGATCGCCAGGAGCTTCTTCTGGATCTCTTACATGCGTGCAGAGTCTCAAGACCCTGAAGATCCTCCACTGTTTTCCCAGGGTCCAAGCAGAGAGCTGGATGGGAAGTGGAGCAGCTGGTACTATTTGGTGACTCATAGGATGCTGGCATTACAGGCACACAAACTGGCTATGATACTTCACTGGCTCTTTTAAGGTGTCTGAATGTAATACCATATGTTCGTTTGAAAAAGAAACATATTTAAGAAGGTAAAACAAGTTTAATGAGACTGTCTTATCAAATACAATTTGAACTTTCATTTTGTTTAAAAGATGTTTTTTCTTTTTGTTATAAAGGCATTTGTGCAGAGAGAAAGAGAGCTAGAAAGATCTTCCATTCGCTGGCTCACTCACTAAATATCTGTAATGGCCTAGCTGAGCTCAACCAAAGCCAGGAGCCAGGAACTTCTTCCAGCTCTCTTACACAGTTGTAGGGTCCCATGGCTTTGGATCATCCTCTGTGGCTTTCCCAGGCCATAGGCAGAGGTTAGAAAATGGAGTATATGGGACTTGAATCAGTGCCCATATGGATCATGATGCCTGCAAAGGTAGGATTAGCTAATTGAGCCATTGTGCTGTGCTTATAAATTTTAACTTTGGAAAATACTGCAAATCATGGGGTCAGGCAACTTAACATCAATAATTTATGAAGTAACTTGCTGTGATTCTCTTGGATTCTAGCAGTCTGCTTCCTCAATGCAGGTGAACTAATCTTCTATGGTGTTGGCAAATCTAATAGGACTAAAATAATGACTGTTAATTCTTTTGACTCTTGTGAAAGTAAGCTGTAATTCTCTCTAACAGCAGAATCATCTTGCTTATGTCATGTTTTATTCCTTTTCTAATTGGGACAGTATAATATTTAATTTTCTCAGAATGATTTTTGCCACCAAGCAAATGAAATTTAAGTATGAGATGAAAATTCCCAAAGTATTCTCATTTGTTTTTTTCTTTCCTGTCCAGTTAGAGTGAATAGTCTGTTTTTGGATTGATTGCTATTTTATATTCCCTCTCTGTCTAAAGGCCCTCCCACATGACTCATTTTTACAAATTGGCAGTTGGAATTGTCTGTACTCCTCTTTTCTCCTTCCTCAGTACATCCATGGATTTGTTGTGTATAGCTCTTTTTCACTTCCAATTTTGTTTTGAAGCAAACACTTCATCATCTTAATTGACAGTTCAGTGAATTAATGCCTTTATCATTATGGTAGTAGACTTTGGTGCGTAGTCTGTTTCTTCTTAGGTTGTTATTTGATTGTCCACTTTAAAAGGCATATCTTTGTTTTTCTTAATAGAGTTACTAATTTTATATTAAAGGCAGAGTGACAGAGAAAGAGAACTGTTTTTTTTTTTTTTTGTTTGTTTGCTAGTTCAGTTTCCAAAAAAACCTACAACCATAGATGGGAGACTAGGCCAAAGCCAAAAGCCAGGGCCTCTGTGGATGTGACACATGGATGACAGAGAATATAGTAAGAAGTTCATGGAAAATGGAACTAAAAGAAATTCATTTGTGCAAAGAAATTTCAGATCTCTGTGTAGTTTTGTTTCCACAATACTCATTTTCCATGAAGAACACTTCTCATATGATTTGTCAGCTTTACTTCTTTAAAGTGTAACAATTGGTGCATGTAAAATGCTCAGTATTTTTTGAAGCCAAGATTACTTCTCTATAGATTTACACCTCTGGAATCTTTAATTAAACTACATTTTTTCTATCAGAATGAATCTTATTTATAAATACTACAATTTTGGTTACCACTAGGTAGAGATATCGCAAGCTTCAAATTAAAAGGTTAAAGAACTCTGCTGAGTATGGCTTTGAAAAGATGTTTCTGGGCCCAGCACCATGGCCTAGTGGCTAAAGTCTTTGCCTTGAACTCACTGGGATCCCAGATGGGCCTGGTTCTAATCCCAGTGGCCCCGCTTCCCTTCCAGCTCCCTGCTTGTGGCCTGGGAAAGCAGTCTAGGATGGCCCAAAGCTTTCGGACGCTGCACCTGTGTAGAGACCCAGAAGAGCTCCTGGCTCCTGGGTTCGAATCAGCTCAGTTCCGGCCATTGTGATCACTTGGAGAGTGAACGATTGGAGGAAAGATCTTCCTGTCTCTCCTCCCCTCTCTCTATATCTTACTATAAAATAACTAAATCTTAAAAAAAAAATGTTTCCTAGCTAGAATTTGCTATCTGCAATAGGGAGCTTATGCCCATTCTAGTCTTTGCTTGACTTTATCTTATTTTCAGTTTTACCTAGGCTGGGACTTTTTTTCAGAAAGATAAAAGGGAGAAAAATATATATTTTTAAAATTTATTACAAAGTTTGTTAAGTACCAAAACTACCACCTTGAACCCCAGAAGTGACATTTAAAAAATATTTATTTTAAATTGAAAGGCAAATTTATAAAGTAGAGATTCAGCAAGAAAGATCTTCCATCCATTGGCTCACTCCCCACATTGTCCCCATGGTCAGAGCTGAGCTGATCTGAAGCCAGGAGCCAGGAGCCAGGAGCTTCTTCCAGGTCTCACACATGATAAGTGTCTCAAGGACTTGGGCCATCCAACTCCTTGCTTTCCCAAGCCACAAGCAGGGACCTCCATCAGAAGTGCAGCAACCAGAATATTATCCGGCACTCAGGTGAAATCCTAATGCTTGAAGGTGGATTAGACTTCTGAACCACAGCACTGGCCTCTGATGTGGATTTTTGTTAGACATTTTATTTGTGTTCTAGAACCTAAAGGTAATGATACAGACTTTTAAGAGAGGACATTTTGGGGCCTGGCACCTTGGCTCAACAGATATTAATGTCTGTCTTCAAGCATTGACATCCCATATGGGTACTGGCTGTGTTCCAGGGGCTCCCTTACTGATCCATCTCATTGCTTATGGCCTAGAAAGGCAGTGGAGGATGACCAAGTGTTCAGCATCCTTTTTGCATGTGGAAGACTCAGAAGAAGCTCTTAGCTTTGGATTGGCTCAGCTTTAGCTGTTGCAGCCATTTCGAGAATGATCCAGTGTATGCAGGATCTTTCCCTCTCTGTTTCCTTCTCTTTGTAAATCTGCCTTTCTAATAAAAACAAGACAATAAAGAGAGGACATGTTGGCCTTTTGATTTCTGGATAAGATTGAGAGGATAAATAGA